TGTGGGTGGATGGATGGTTTTTCAAGGAGGAACTGCTGGGGTGGGGTCAAGGCACCAAGGCAAGGAATGGCTGTCGCTTCTCTGAGCCTGCAGCCCCAGAGGATGGGGCTGCTCAAAGATGATGGGTAGTCTCAGAGGCAGACCCAGGGCTCCACCTGTGCTGCAGGCCTGAGGGCTGGAAAGGGTCTCAGAACCCCAGCGTTCCATGGGATGTGGTGTGTGTCCTCAGAAGGACTGTGTGCTTACACAGAGAGGCCTCTTTCAGAGATGGGGGTGGCCCAGGATGGTGTGGGCAAGTGGGCAGGCAGGTAGGGCCCCAGAGAGGTGTTGGGAAGATGAAATGCTCGGGTCTACATGCAGTTTGTTGGGGAAACTGAGTGACTGGCATGGTGTGAAAGGAGGAAGAGAGGCCCCAAAAGTTGGGAGCATGCAGTCCTGTTGTCCGGCTGCTAGGCTGTTGTCTGTACCAACTGTGGGGTGCCGGGAGATTGAGGGAGACAGAGGTTGGTGTTGTCACAGAGACAAAGGGTGCAGGATTAGTCCATATGCTCTTAAACCCCGAAGAATTGGGCTTGGAGCCTGGGATTGATGCAGAGGGCCTGTGTTAGGAGGCTGGGTCAGTCATCTTGAACCAGTCCCTTAAATGCTGGCAGTGATCAGTTTGAAATGCAACAGAAGAAGAGATGTCACTCATTGTAGCAGCAGAAATTTAGAATAACCAGGAATAACTCAGCTTTTGCAAAGAAACCACAGGAGAATACCACTGACTGGCGCCCCCCGCCAAGGGTGTGAGCCCTGCCCTGTGGCCTCCCCAGTGTAGTACTGCTCGTCCTGCCTTGAGTAGTTCAGAGAAGTAATATGTCCAGACAGAACATACACATACCTTGGTTCTGAAATTTGTCTGGGTTTCTAGGAAAACCAAGAACAACTTAAGAGGAATGACAGAGAGGTGCCTGTACTGTCTGATACTAAAGCCATAGATATGTCAGAAGTGTGCCACTGGTCCCAGAACCTACAGGTCAATAGAAAAGAAGAAAAATTTTGAAACAAACCTCAGTCCAAGTCAGAATTTAGAATGTGTCAGGGATGGTAACTCAAATGTGCTGAGTAGTAATTCGAAAATGAAGTAAATAGGTCCTTTGTATAGCAGAATGTATTCCAGGAACTTGGAGAAGTTAAATATAAAAACAATAAGCTTAAGACAATAAGAAGAAAATAGTGGTCAACATTTAACCTGATTTTAAGGTACAAAGGACTTTGTAAATATAAAAGCAAAGGAAGAAATGACAAAGGAAATGATGTCTAGCTTACTCTCTATGGAAATGACAAACAGAAGTACAGCTGAAAATATACGTAAAACTAAAAACAAATAACTGAAAAGAAATTTGTATAGCAAAACTTAACATAACCAATATAGGTAAAGCTCCTATAAGTAAAAAAAAAGCTAAACCAAAAAAAGACAAGGTAAGGACCTTGTTAGAAAAATAGGCCAAAGACACATTTTGGAAAGTTCTCAAAAGAAATACAGAAGGTCAATAAAGACAGAAAGATAGGCGGGCTGGGCGTGGCTCAGCTGTTGAGCATCGACCTAGGATCCAGCAGATCATGGTTTGATTCCTGGTCAGGGCACATGCCCAGGTTGCGGGCTCAACCCCCAGTGGAGGGCATGCAGGAGGCAGCAGATCAATGACTCTCATCATTGATGTTTCTGTCTCTTTCTTTCCCTCTCCCTTCCTCTCTAAAGTCAATATATATTAAAAAAAAAAAAAAAGACTGGAACGATAATTAGAGAGAAGCAGATTAAAACAAGACCTCTTCTTTTCTAAAATATTATGAGGTTCCTAACTCAGCAGTACTGGCCTTGAGGGGACCATGATGGCAGGGGTAGGCTGGGCCCTTGCAGGTGGGCAGCTCGGCCTAGCTGGTTGGGGGCTTCAGGGACTTTCGGGGGGGTGATGTTGGGTTGTTGGGATCATGGGGGCCAGGTGAAGAGTCAGCCCCTCCAGCAGCCAGGGACTGCCCAGCTCAGTGGCCAGCTGGCCCAGGTCACACACACACCTACTTTGTAGATCTTGGAGCCAGGCCGCAGGGAGCGGCTGGGGCTGAAGATGGCCAATGAGGCTGCTGCCAAGAACCGGGCCAAGAAGCAGGAGGCCTTGCGGAGAGTGACAGAGAACCTGGCCAGGTAAGTGGTGCCTGACACTCGTGGGGGTTTCTTCCTGCTCCCGTTGGGCCCCACCCCCAGAGTGTGGACACTCAGTCTGCATGGCAATCCCACGTGTCCTTCAGTGGGCCCTGTGGTAGCTCCTCTGGTCCGAAGCGAGGCCCTGTGTGAACCAGGATGTGGAGGCCCCCTTCGTCTTTTCTTCAGCCTCTTTTTAGGCACATCCCTAAAAGGTACCTTAAAACCTGTTGTCCCACTATGAGCTTTTGTCAGCCCTGTGAAGACGGGTGTCATCATTCCCATTAGAGAAAGTTGGGGTCCACCCCAGCCCCAGGGCCAAGGGCAGCAGCACCCGCAGTCCACCTCAAGTTTGGCCACACTGCTATATGTCAGGCCACTGGTGTCCTCAGCCCAGAATGACCACGAGTCTCCCATGTGTCTTTCTGTGGAGCTGTGGCAGGCCCTGTTGCTGGCTGTGCCCTATCAGGCCTAATCCTACCTCTCTTGCTCACCCCCTCTACCCCAGCCTCACCCCCAAAGGCCTGAGCCCAGCCATGTCCCCAGCCCTGCAGCGCCTTGTGAGCAGGACAGCCAGCAAGTACACAGACCGGGCCCTGCGGGCCAGCTACACACCATCCCCAGCACGCTCAACCCACCTCAAGACCCCGGCCGGCGGGCCCCAGACCCCGACGAGCACACCAGCTCCTGGCTCTGCCACACGCACCCCCCTCAGCCAGGACCCGGCCTCCATCACAGACAATCTGCTGCAGCTCCCTGCCCGGCGCAAAGCCTCAGACTTCTTCTAGGGCCAGGCCCGGGCTGGGCTCATGGGATATTTGTGGAGCCTGCAGGGCAGCTGTCCACTCAGCAGAGGACTCCAGCCTTTTGGGGACCCAGGCCCGGGCCAAAAGCAGTGACTGTCCCAGGAGCCACAGGAGAAAAGGTGCCATGTCACAGCCAGCCTGGCACAGGACCCACCCCATGGCCCTTGGGTGCATCCCAGGGCTTTGCTGGTACTTTTTTCTATGGAACCCCTGCCCATTTCTATTTAACAGGAATTAAAGAACACCTAGCACAGTCTGCAGGGCTGTCCCTTCATCCTGCATTGGGGTCTCAGGAATATGGGAGGAAGCTGCTGTATGGGGTGACCCTTCGAGGGCCAGGGTTTCTCGCCTTTCCTGTCACCATCTGCATCACTTTCTGTGGCACTCTTGGGCTTAAAACCTGAACTGAGCTCACAGCATATTGGTCCCCTTTGCCTCCCCATCCCAAGTTCTGTTCCTCTTAGGGAAGGACGGACCCCTTGGGTGTTCAGCCTCTAAGGTTCACCTGGGGCTCTGGGCTCAGGTCTGCAGCCTCCCCAGCCAGCCTGGCCTGCATGGTTGGCTAGTGACAGGGCTGCGTGGGTCGGTCCTACATGGGTGTCAGGCCACATTCCTGCATGAGGTACCTTCCCGGTGGCCTTACCATGACCAAGCACTTGGTTTCCAGCTCAGGTGGGTCAAGCTGTCTCTATCTTCCTGCCCTTTTCCCCCAGTGCTCCAGGTACTGCTGGTCTTAGGCTGCTGGGTCACCAGTCTCACCTCATCACTCCTACCAGTAGTCGCCCCGGGTAACAGTAACCTGGGCCACAGTGTCAAGCAATGGGGCCTGGCTGTATGCAGACCTGACAGCACCATTTGTACAACCAGCCAGCATTGCTCGGCAGCCTGATTGTGTTGGTGCCTGATCCCCAGGAGGCCCAGAGCCATCTGCTTCACATGGAGGTAGGGGTCCCCAAGACCATGGCTGCTTGCCAAATGGATCTCTTCTGGCCTCAAGTGGGGTCAGATTGTGCCCTGGGGGCTTGCTGCTCAGGGAGGCAACCTGGGATCCCTCAGATTGGAGTCTTGCTTCAAGTACACCCAGCCCTGCGCTAGGCCGTCTTGTGTACCACGTTGTTCCTCTTGCCCTCCCTGAGTTCCGATATCCTCTAGAGGCCAGTGCGGGGCCTGCTGCCTGCCTGGACACTGCTAGCCTGCATTCCTCAATAGTGAGTTCTTACAAACTCCCTGGGGCCGAGTCCTGGCTGTGCCCTGTGACCTACCAAGGGGGTTGGGGGTGGGCTTAGCAGGTGAGCTTGGACCAAGGCTGGGACTGGGAAGTGGGGGTTTTTGGTGCTTTTCCCCCATAGGGAAGGGTGGCCTTGGGCCTGAGGGTGCCCTCAGGAAATGGGGAGGCAGAGAGAGATGCTGTCCAGTCAAGGCCACCTAAGGCCAGGTGCTGACCACTTCCAGCACTTGGCTGAGCCTGTTAGGAGTGTGCCTTGGGGAGTGAGCGACAAGTGACAAAATAGGGCTTCTGTATGTGGGGTGATCAGGGTGCAGTGGAGAGGGTGCAGGTCAGAGGTCTTGGCTGGGGTCCCTGCCTGGGGCATGAAGGGGATGCTCAGGGGGGAGGGGAGGGGATGGAGGAGGAGAACTCTAAGGAAGAGCTGAGGGTGTGGGATGGGGTTGGAGTGGGCTGTGCTGCAACCCACGTGGGAGGCACATGTACCCGGCGAGCTCTGGAGGCGCTGGGCATGGGCAAGTCAGAAGGAGACCAGTGGGAGCCTGGCAGATGGTCCGTGGTTGCGATCTCCTTGCCCACAAGGCCTCTCTGTGAGTCCCTGTGCCTGAGCACCGGTCCCTGGACCCCTATGCTGGAGACCCCCCTGCACCACAAGGAGGGTAGTTGACTGAGTCCAGGAGAAAAAGACTCCTCAGGGGGCACTCTTGATGCTTGTTTACACTTTGTGGTTTATTTGGTGGTTAGTAATTAATGTCTTTGCTACTAACTGGAAGAAAGCTAATAGAACGTAATCAAAATAGTGGTTTAATTGACAGATTTTACTTGTTCCTTGCACCTGTGCCTTCTTCAGCTCCTACCTGCCTAGTTTACTTGGGTGCCACCGCGCGCCACCCTCCGCCCCCGCGCCTAGGTACCTGCTGCCTTCCCCACCTCAACTCCGGAGACGTGGTGGTCCCTGGCCCTGGAGGTCTCGGCCAGCCTGTCCTCCATCTTGTCCTCGTTCTCGGGCACCACGTGCAGCCGGTGCTGGGTTTTGGTCCCCAGCTTGTGATCAGGCCGATGCTCAGGCCGGTGTTCGGGGCATGAGCCTGGCCGGGTGTCTAGTTTGCACTCGGCCCGATACTTGCCCTCACCCTCCCTCTTGAAGGAGGCAGAAGACATGGCTTTGGGCTTGGGGGGCTGCAGCCACGAATGGCTGAGGATCTCGTCGATCTGCAGCCGCCGGTTGACATCGGGCTGCAGGATGCGGTAGATGAGGTCCTTGCACTCGCTCGTCAGGTTCTTGGAGCGCGGGAAGTCCACGCGGTGCTCCTTCTGGATGCGCAGCATCTTCTTGATGTCAGAGTCGTCGTAGGGCATGGAGCCACAGACCATGATGTAGAGGATCACGCCCAGGCTCCAGATGTCATAGACCTTGGGCTGGTAGGGGATGCCCTGCAGGACCTCGGGGGCTGCGTATGCCGCCGACCCGCAGAAGGTCTTGCTGAGGATGATGCGCCCACTGCAGTCCCGCAGGCAGCGCTTTGAGAAGCCGAAGTCGGACAACTTGATGTTGAAATCCTTGTCAAGGAGAAGGTTCTCGCACTTGAGATCTCTGTGGACAACGTCCAGGTCGTGGCAGTACTTGACGGCTGAGGAGAGCTGGCGAAACATCTTGCGTGCCACATCCTCATGCAGGGCTCCCCGGCACTTGATGAACTCAAGGAGGTCGCCCTGAACCCCGAGCTCCATGACGATGTAGATGCGCCCATCCGAGGTCTCGAAGATCTCATAGGTCTTTATGATGGAGCGGTGATTGACAGTTGCCAGGATGTCCATCTCCCGAGGGAGGAATCTCTCCACAAAGTCGGAGGGCGTTTTCTTGCGGTCAATGATCTTGACCGCCACATTGAACTTGAGGCGCTCAGAGTAGGCTGATTTGACTTTTGCGTAGGAGCCCTTGCCAAGATTGATACCCACGATGTAACCCTTTTTCCTTAGGACCGCGGCATCGTCCATGGTGCCAGGAGTGGCCGGCGCCACTGCCCTCTACATCCCTTTCCCACGTGGGCCAGCAGGCATTGTCCTCATTTACAGTGTGGGGAGCCGTCTGGCTGGGCTGGCCTGGACTTGTGGAATGCTCAGCATTATCTCCACGTGACTTCAGCATGTGAAGTCATAAAGCCAGGCAGCCGGGAGTGGGAACTGGACTGGGGGGAACGGGGCCCCTGGAACCCTGGAAGCCAGGCTGGCCTGGCAGGAACGCCCACTCCCCACCCACTGTAAGGAAGCCAGCACCTAGGACTGTGGTAATCATCCCTGTTCCTCCTCACTGTGGCTTCCCTGTCACAAGTCAGGCCGAAGGTGGGGGCTTCCCAGGAATGCCAGCCCGGTGCTAGTTTTCCTTTCCTGGCTGTGGGGACTGACCCTGCATTGGTTCCTATCTCACGAGGGTTAGTTTCCTGCAGCTTCTTTGGGGTGTGAAGAAAACTCCATCTATAGGGCTTGTGTCCTCAGAACTGGTGGTGCCTGGGAGGGACTGCTGTGGTCTGGCCAGGTTGGCAGTGGTTCCAAGCTTCGTGAATGAGAGCAGCTTCTGTTTGGGGAAGAGAGCTAGGTGGATGAGTGCTACCGCTGCTGCAGCAAGCAGGATGTGTGTGGGGTGGAAGGGCAGGCGGGGGTCTGGGATGCTGTGGGCCTCAGGCGGGCAGATGTGTTCTGAGGACTGGGGCAGGCCTGGAGGATGGGTCGAGATTCAGTCAGGTAGAGGAGGTGATAGGCATTCAGGTAGGGAAGAGCCTGGGAGGGGAGAGGGCTTGTTCTGAGAATGGCTGAATCCCATAGACAGGAGGGAGGTGGGGGAAAAGGTAAGTGGGGGCTTTTCCCTGAGTGATGGGCAGCCATTGTAGGCTGCAGGGCAAGAAGAGCTGTGGCCCAAGTTACATTTTAAGATGGCAGCATAGAGAATGGGCTTTGGGGTGAGTGGTGGCCATTGTCTATGACCAGGCAATAGGAGCCTGGACAAGGGTGGGCCTCAGGGTTCTGGGTGACAGAGGGAGACTACAGTGTCTAGTGTGCTGGTCAGTGATCGGACAGAGCCTTGGGTAGAGCCTGGGTGCTGGGGTCCTGGGGTTGCTGAGGGCTAGCAGCACCCAGAGCATCAGCTGTTAAGAGCAAGCACCTGGGTGAGAAGGGGTCCTAAATTGTGTCAGTTTGGGCCTTTGTGAGGAGTAGCTATTGGAACCCTGGGAAAGCACGTAGTTTGCATCTCTCAAACTGCCTCTGTGTCTAGAAACAATGTGAAAACCCTATTTCAGGGCACATGTATGGAGTTCTGCTTTGGACAATATGGCCTCCTGTATACAGCTCCTTAGGAACTTTGGAAACCCTGCTCTTCATTTATTTTCTGTCACAGGCATTCTCTGCCCACATGTAGCAAGTTGTCAGGACAGGTGTACCATGTACTTACTCTGTTCAGGGGAGAGGAAGGCCTGCTTCTGTGTGGGTGGTCAGGGGCTGAGAGTGGAGCTGGCGTACTGAGGATCAATAGGGCTCCACCAGATTGACAAGGGGCAAGACATGGCAGGCCAATGTAACATGTTGACCAGAGCATGGCTGTGTGGATGCACTTGGAGCATGTGGGGCGCTCCCTGTGTCTGGAGGTCCATGTGGAAAACGGTAGTGGCAGGACAACCTGAGTCTAGGTGCCAAGCTGGAGTGACTAGTCCCAGCAGAGTGGGCCCACAGCAGGCAACTGCCCTCCAGCAGCCAACCCTTCCTAAGGCCCGCCTTCTCCCTGAGGCCCACTTTCTCCTGGGGGCTCCTTTTGGCCTAAATGACCAGTACTTTATTCCTTTGCATCTCAGAAGGGGCCAGCTGTGAGGATTTGCAGACCAGGACCCAGTTCTGTCCTCACAGCTGGGCGAGGATAACTCCACCCCCACTTTCCCCTGTGCCCCTAATGTTTTCTCTGGGGTGTGCCTGCATGTCTTTGTTCTTGTGACTCCACTGTCCCATTTTATGGATTCTACTCCCCCTTACCCTGCTCTTTTCTGGACAGTGTGGCCTCTTTAGTTCTTGGAGGACATGGTAGAGGAGGCAGGTCTTAGCATCCCACAGGGATATGGAACAAACAGTGTTGCCCAGGATGTGCATGCTGAGGCAGGGACGCCTGGTGTGTTGGAGGCAGGAGTGTTATATTGGGCAGAGGACCTCCAGTGGAAGTCCCAACAGGCAGTTCTGTGGAGCAGAGACCTGCAGACTCTGGGAAGGCCACTTCTGAGCTTTGGTTTTCTTCACAAATTGGGCACCCGTTTGTCTCTTCACCCCACAGGCATTTGAGGATCAGTTCCAGGTGCTGGGCTACACTGATGGACTAGAAAGGACTCATGCCTTCCTGGAGCCCAGAGGCCAGGGAGGTACAGTGTCCCAATGAGTGTGAACTCCCAGTAGTGACTGCTGTGACACCGAGAACATGGAGCTGTGAGGACAGAACTGGGGACTGGACTTGGGGAGGCTGGGAAATCTGGCAAGGCTGAGGCCTTAGGAGTTAGCCACATGGAGCAGCACGGGGGCTGCTAGTGCACATGATGGCCTGAGTGGACAGTGCATGGAGTGTGTGCAGGAGCGCGAGGGAGCACTGTGGGCCACAGTGTCCTTGTTGAGGGTCGTGATTCTAAAGCCTTTGTGGGGTCACTGGAGAGGTCTAAGCCAGGGCTGAGCCCAGTGGGTTGAGCAGCTCACAGGAGTGGCCAGCATATGAGGCCACCTGGGGAGGTGTGGCTTCAGTCACCAGGCTGCTACTCCATGCTGTGTGATTCAGGAAGTCTTCTACCCTCTCTGAGCTGTCTCCCCACCTGGGAAGCACACAGTAAGTGCTCCTTCCCACGGCCAATCCTGCCCAGGCTTACCTCTTAGCTGGGCTGCAGTGCGACTCCCAGGCCCTCTTGCCACACACTGCCCACTGCCCTGAGGACTGCAACAGGCTGCAGAGATGACAAGAGGAGGAGACTCATGAGCCTCTCCTCAGGACATCCCAATCTCAATTCCACTCGGTTGTGCTCTACAATTCCACTCTACCACCAGACAAGCTGCACAACTGGGCTCCTGGAGCCTTCAGTCTTCATTAGAAAATTGGGTGGCTGCTCCAGTATTACTCAAGGCCTGTTCTGTGCCTGGACCTGGGCACTCACTGGCCTGCCCTGATGGAGTTCAGTGGCTAGCTGCTGAGTGCTGTTGGGGCCCCCAGAAGGCCTTGTGGAGGCCATGGCCCCTTGGCTGAGCCTGGAGAGAGAGGCAAGGTCTGCAGGGATGTTTATAACGTGTGTGTAGGGTGTGGAGGTGAGGGAAAAGGCTAGGAGGCCACGAAGGGGCCATACCTGGGAGGACCTTGAAGTATAGGCACTGGGCTCCCTCGGTCAGAGAAGGAGCCAGACTGGGTGCTGTGAGAGGCAATGGCAGGGCATATGAGAACACAGTCTGTGTGAAAGGTGGCTATGGGGAGGGAGGAGCCAGGTAGAGCAGTGGACTAACTGTGGGCAGGTCTGGGGAACTCTCTGGGTCTCACTTCTTCCAGAAGGTTGGGGTTGAGATTTTTCCCAAAACAGAGATGTGGGGGAGGGGTGAATCTGAAGGCACTTACCCTCTTGGTGTGTTAACCCCTGCAGGTCCACAAGAGGTGGTCAGTGAGTGCAGAGCAGGAAGAGAAAGGGCCGCCACAGCAGAGGTGAGGACTGCATAACAAAGTGTGGGCAAGGCCCTGCAGAGCATGATGCTTGGTGATGCTAAACACAGGCCTGCTCCCTCTGTGGGACACAGATGGCCGCAGTGGTCAGGCATGCATTGTGAGGACACCTGTCTTGTCTCCTATTCACCAGTATCAGCTCATCTACTCTGGCAGGGAGCATCACCCCTAGGGACAGACTGGGACTCCCAGGGAACAGGGTGTGGTCAAGGCCACACAGTTGTGGGACATTCGGGCTAGAGTGTGGCTGGCCTGTCCAGCAGAGCCCTCTGCTTCCTCTGGGCCTGGGGAATGACCACAGGGTGGGATGACTCAGCAAATCATTGAGTACTGGGAGCTGGCTGGACACAAGGGAATCCCTGGTGGACAGAGCAGAAAAACTAAGTTGCCCATCAGAGTGGGGAGCGAAGCTGGTTTACCTGCCCTCTGCAGGTCCCTCCCCACCAGTAACTTTGTGGGTTCCCCTCCTACCCCTCCTCTACAGGAAGCCACCTTGCCTTCCTTGGTTCTGTCCTCTCTGTGTCCCCTCTCCCCCAGCACCACACTTATGGCCTCCCTCTTGAAGCAGTATCTTCCTCACTCAACTCTCTGCTCTGGTCCAGGCCTGAGGTCATGGTCAGGGCTGGGCACATTAGGATATATCTTCCAAATTTGGGGTGTGTGTGTGGGGGGGGGTGGATCATCTCCTTGTGTGACCACAGTGAGCTGGGGCAAAGGCATTCACCTTATAGTCTTGCACTAATATAGTTATTTATTGCTTCTTTACCATGTGGGTTACCAAGTTCAAAGGGAGGGAAAAGAAACTGACGAAAATAATGGCTCATCCCTGACTGTCTTCCTTCAATGGCTTGTCACTTGGCTTTTTTTGGAGCTCAGGCTCGAAGGTGTGAGCTCTGCCTGATTCCCTAACAGCCCCTGGGCCATGTGAGAGGCTTACTAGGTGTGTGTCTCTGGATGCTTCAGGGAGCCCCCTTCCACCGTCTCCCTGCTCGGCTGCTCTGTGAGGGTAAGGCTTGCGATATCCAACTGCTTCGACACCTTGTCTTGCAGGATCTCCTCCTTTGGTTGTGACTCAGGCTTAATCTCAGAGTGTGCCTCCTTCTGGGACTCCAGCTTGGTGACAGACTTCTTGTCAGAGCCAGCCTCAGGGATCCATGAGGGATCAGTGCCCCCAGAGCTCTCCCCATCCTTGATGGTGGCTGCAGAGAACAGGCCCCGAGCCTTGGGCTGCACCCAGCAGTGGCTGAGGATCTCATCGATATGCAGCCGCCGGTTGACATCCGGCTGTAGCATGCGGTAGATGAGGTCCTTGCACTCACCCGTCAGGTTCTTGAAGCGCGGGAAGTTAATGCGGTGCTCCTTCTGGATGCGCAGCATCTTCTTGATATTGGAGTCATCGTAAGGCATGGAGCCACAGACCATGATGTAGAGGATCACGCCCAGGCTCCAGATGTCATAGACCTTGGGCTGGTAGGGGATGCCCTGCAGGACCTCGGGGGCTGCGTATGCCGCTGACCCACAGAAGGTCTTGCTCAGTGTCAGTCGGCCGCTGTCATCCCGCAGGCAACGCTTAGAGAAGCCAAAGTCTGACAGTTTGATGTTGAAGTCCTTGTCAAGGAGGAGGTTCTCACACTTGAGGTCTCGGTGGACAATGTCCAGGTCATGGCAATACTTGATGGCCGAGGAGAGCTGGTGGAACTTCTTTCGAGCATCATCTTCATGCAGGGCTCCCCGGGTTTTGATGAACTCAAGGAGGTCACCCTGGACCCCTAGCTCCATGACAATATAGACCTTACCATCTGATGTCTCAAAGATCTCATAGGTCTTGACGATGGAGCGGTGGTTTAGCAAGGTTAGAATCTCAATTTCCCGGGGAAGGAATTTCTCCAAGAAGTCTGTGGGGGCTTTTTTGCGGTCGATGATCTTGACTGCCACATTGAACTTTAGGCGCTCAGAGTAAGCGGATTTGACTTTTGCGTATGAGCCCTCTCCCAAATTTATCCCCATGATATAGCCTCGTCGCTTGAGGATGGCAGCATCATCCATGGTGCCAGGAGCACCCAGTGCCTCTGAGGCTGCCCTCTACATCCCTGCAAGACATGGGCCAGCAGTGTCCTCATTTACACTGTGGACAGAGAGTCCTCTAGGCTGGCCGGGCCTGCTGTCCCTGCCTCTGAGAGGCCCATACTCTGGGGTGGAACATTCAGCATTGTCTCCCAGGTGACTGCAGTGGGTGAAGTCATAAAGGAGGAGTACCCTGGGGGAATGAGGCTCTGCCTGGAGCCACTTGGACTCGGATTCCTGGAAGGCTGGCCAGTGGGCTGGAGAAGACCAAAGGCCCACACTTGAGAGTGGCCTCACACTTGGCTGGGAGCTGAGGTAGCAGGGGGCTATGGGGACACATTGATCTGCCAGTGCCTCCAAACGCTGAGCTAGGACTGCTTGACGAGTGATGGGGCTGATTACTGTAACCCGGTAAATCCAGGGCAGATGGTTGTATCAGTCCAGGTCTCAGCAGGAAACAAGACATACTCCAGTTGAGGCAGTCTGAGGGTTTACAAAGGTAAGAGCAGAGTGTAGGAAACCCCAATAGTAGTCACACACTCCTGAAAGAAGGGAAGGATGATCTACTAGGAAACCCCAGTAGTAGTCACACACTCCTGAAAGAAGGGAAGGATGGTCACTGGAACCTGGTGTAGAGAGGGCTACCTTGAGAGAGGCAGTGACCTTAGGTGGAGGCCACAGTGACCCCACAGGCAAGGAGCTGGGGAGAAACGTCCCTGATTTTCTTTCCCTTCAGTCCTAGAAGTCCTTGCCTGTGACCACACTGGTGGCCTGCGGGCCATGCAGCATGCTGAAGAATGGAAGTGGATCAGGAAGGGCAAAGGCTCCAGGCCCAGGGTCATTGCCTTTATGAAGCCAGGGCTCTGTCCTCTCCTGCATGGTTTGGCTGGACTCTTCACTTCCCTGTACTTCTCTTTTCTCATCCAAACCTTTGCCAGCTTCTCTGACAGTGGCTCTGGCAGGGGACCACTGGCAGGGATTTCTGCTCTTGGGTGTGTGTTCCTTCTTGGGGATCTGCCCAGACCATAGCCTTGGCTGGGCTCCCAGGGCAGATCTAGGGCTGGGGCAGAAGCTGGACCTGGACCTGGATCCTGCTTTGAGTGCCATCAGCTGCTCCCGGAATGCTCCCTGAGGATGGTGCAAGTGGAGAGGTCAGCATTGGACAGGGACCAACTTCTACCAGCAGTGGAGCCCCTCTGCTATGACAACCCCTTTGTCTAGTACCTGCAGGGGGCCATGCCCTGAGGAGCTGGAGCAGGCAGGTCTGGCCTAGTATTGGGTTTAACCTTGGCTATACCCACCCCAAGGGAGTGGGTGCCTCTCAGATGACCCCGAGTGTTCCACAATTAAGGGACATTAAGGAGAGCCATGCCTTGAGGTAGTTTGAGAGGACTGTGCCCAGGGAGTGAGTCGGTGGGCTAGAGGTGGGCCACGTTGGATGGAGCCTCCCTAGCCTTGTTTGGCCCATCCCCCTCCTCTGCTCCCACCTTCACCCTCTTTTTTTTTTT